GGGGAAGCACTGGAGGGAAGGTGGCAGCCCTAGAGCGCAGAAGAAGGGGATGATGGCCTGATCAGCGTCAGGTGGCTGGAGGACTTCACCGTCACCGATACCGGCATGCCCAGGCCCCCTACCTGTCCGAAGGCCCAGAATTGCGTGCCTGTGTTAAGTTGCCCTGCTTTGCTGCCCCGTGCTCACCCCTGGCTGCCGACCCGGCATGCACGGGTATTCCCCACGCTCCCGGCAACGCCATGTCCTCCTCCACCTCGGGGACGATGCACCGTGCCGTGGCCACACACCCTCAGGCAGCGGAGGACGTCGACTACAAGACCAACCCCTACGTCAAGCCACCCTACTCCTATGCCAAGCTCATCTGCATGGCGATGGAAGCCAGCAATCAGCCTAAAATCCTCCTCTCCGTCATCTACAAGTGGATCAGCGACAACTTCTGCTACTTCCGACACGCCGATCCCACCTGGCAGGTAGGAGATTTGGAGACCTCTTGCCTTGTCCCCTCTCCCTGCAGGCCTGGCTGAGGCTTTCCACAGCCTCCAGCACACCAGGTGAGGTCCTGCCAGGAGGCTGGATCCCCGCGGGGGGGGAGGCATATTTTGGATGGAAAGACCTTGGGTGTGCAGAAATGCCACGGCCTCGCGGGCGGCAGAGGGAAGGAGCCGTTATGAGGAATGCTTGGGGCCGGTTTGGGTGTTGGGAGGTACTCCGCAGGGCTGCTGGTCCCTGCGGCTCCTCTCGGCTCTGGGGTGAAGACATCTCTGTCTGCAGCAGCACCGCTCTGGAGCTTACCTGGGGTCCTGAGCCCCCGGGGGCTGAGCACACATGAAATCTCCAGGTCGAGTATCTCTGGGCGCCGACCCTCAGGTGTAGGAACGGGATGGAGAGGGCCTAGGGGAGCAGAGCTGGGGGAGGCGCTGTGTGCCAGCGAGTTGGCTTCCTCCTGCCAACTGACGGCTCGACAGTCGCCACGTTTTTAATGAACTGTGTGTATTCAAAAGAAGAAAGCAAGCTGTCGGTCCCTCTCTGCAGAGGCGCAGGGGCTTCGCGGGATGGGTGCAGACAGGAGTGATGAAGATGTCAGCTGGCTGGGTCCTAACGGAGGGCGGCCCAGGCTGACAGAAGGTTGGGATGGGGAGGGAAGAG